GTACGAGAGATGAATGAGGCGATCAACCGGGAAGCCATGAGGGCTTAAATCAAATTTGAGAATGGCTCATTATTTAGGTACGTACGTCAACTACAAAGGCACCCGAGGACTGGACAGAGTGTTTACTTGTCTTCTGAGGTTTTCTGTCATATCGCTCAAGGCCAAAGGCAGGATTGGTATGTTTTTAATGGCTCTGAAGAAGTCAGTGAGGCTCCTCTAGGTTGACAGCTGAGTTGCGTAAGCAGCCCTTCATCTTGGTGTCCTGCTGCTGTGAAGCCTATACAAGCACTTTTTATCCATTCTTCATTAAAAAGTTAATAAAAAGCATCTGTGCTGCATGTGTGATAGTTTTTTGTTTTTGCCACACAAACAGCACGTCTGCAGAGATGCTCGTCTGTCTGATGGAGCTGCCACGGTGCTGGGAAGTTCGATAAAGTGCAAGTGGTGTTCATCGTCATACACGATATAACATTTTGGACTGGTGCGATGGTCAGCTCCCCTTGAGAAAACAAGGGAGCTGAAGAAGACAGAAGGAAACGGGGAAAGGAGTGTGTGGGGGTTGGGTGCCGGGGTCAGCAGACCCCTGGATATTCTTAAGAGCCGTGATGAAAACCCAGTGTGACAGAGCAAGCAGCCACCACATCACTCAGGAGACGCCTTAACGGCGTTGACCAAGATGGTGAAATGGTTATGCCGGGGTCTTAAGTGCAGCAGTAGTCATTAAAATAGCATTCGGTGACAGATGCTCAGTGTAATCATTTCTCAGATATTGGAAATTACAGCTCCCGGTGATTTATAGAGTAACCGCTGCCATCAGATCTTTAACAGTTGCAAGGCAGGTGTAGGTTGTTTTTCTTTTTTTTCTTTTTAAAGCAAGTCCAAATGATTTATGGTCCCCTGGCATTTGAAATTGCACATTAAAGACATTGTGAAACTTACAAGCAGCCCACACCACCATTTAAATACCGGCCAAGCCTCGGCTCCGGCATGTGAGCCAGATCTGTTGTTTTGCACGTTTGGAGTATTAATTAGAATGTCTAAACAGGCAAGCCAACACATGTGGACGCTTCAGCCAGTGTATACATTTCAGCGGGTCAGTCAGTCACTAGGAGCCTTCCCACCATATTCTCATGAACCGCGCTAAAGCTACGCTCGACCACCCACCTGCATAGCTGTGTCTTCCTTATGTTCCTCCGTTTCATCCAGTGGACTCGGAAGTGGAGTGAGAGCAGTCGTGTACCAGAAAATGCTTAAATATACAGACTTTGTAGGTTTGCCCTGTGACCTTGTGGCCCCGGTTCTCTAATTGGCTGCTTTTAATGCTTTTAACAAGGTGTCTATAGAGACATCGCAATTTTGACAGAAAGAAAACAGAGCTCAGATGGACTCGGTGCCCTCTATTTTAGCTTTGTTATTGTTGTAAAATCTCCAGAAGTCCATGGTTGTTTTAAACAGGCTTGTTCATCTTTGTGCTGCAGGAACATTTCCTCACTGCGAAAATCGCCCACAAATGTGGTCGTTTAACTATTAAAAAAACGTCATGTGCTGCTGACACCTGCTAGCAGGCCCCAGAGTACAGTACAGGCAGACGGTGCAGAGACACTGGTCGTGCATCAACCACAGATGAAAGCATTATAAGTCAGCCTGCTATTAAAAGATCCCTGAACAGAAATAAAAGGCAGGACAAGGAGTGAGTTTAAAAAGAAATGGACAGGAAGAGAGAGAGCAGCGAGCCTTCCTTTGCTTCATCCCATCGTTGTAACTACGTGTTTATTGGTTGTTTCCTTCATTTAACAAGAGTCCCAGCTTTATATTTGAAGGCTGTCTGTGGATAAAGGCTGTCTAGACCCTGCAGTTAAAACGCTGGCAGGCTGGGGGCATTCATATAAAACCCGGGGACTTTCCTGTAAGATACTGCCTTTGTCTTTTTACAATGTCGTGGCTCCACACTTATTAATTACATATTTTCGGGTCTACACCCAGAGCCAGCACTTGCACATTAACTATGCTGTGGTTGGGATGCTCTTTAGATGAGAAGGAAAGAGAAGTGCATTTTATTTTATTTTATTTTTTTGCAGGGGGAAGAAATGTGACAGATTTACGTCTGCCCTCAAATCACTGTTATTCTTTGTCATCTTTTTTTTGTCTGTCCGGTGCATCCAGAGTTGAATATTAGCTAAATGAAAGCAGATTTCATGTTTCAGTAATCAGTCTTTTGAATGCACCCTTAAGTGAGTGGGCGTGTTGATTACGGCGCCTGTCGTTTTCAGTTTGCTGTGTTAGTTTCATAGACGTGACCCTTCAGCGGCGCTGCCGCCGAGGGGAGCGGGAGAGGGATGTGCTGACGGAAGAAACTGCCTGATCAAGGAAAGTGAAGAAATGTGCGGAGGCCTTCTGGGAAAGAGATGATTTGATTTGATTTACATGTAAAACACAATTAAACAAAAGAACTACGGATATTGTGCACGAGGTGCGAGAGGCAAAAAAAGGCCTGAGCTAACTTGAGATAAAATGAGAACAAATTGTTTGGGAATTCAGCGAGTAACCGGTGCCGCACACAGGTCATCTCTGGGCCTGTTTGTGTGTCTTGATGGACAGACGGGGCACCGATTTGGCCCGGGTAGGCCTTTAGGACTGTAATTTATTTCATCCTGTTTAGTGCAGAGGACTGTTTCAGTTTATGTTGCCGGCTGAGTGATTAAAAACGGCGTCCGGCCTCCTCTTACTCGTATGTCTCTCGCAGACACGTCATTTCGATTTTTCCTGCTGTAGCAGAGATAATGCCAATGGCAGTCTGTTCTCAAGGGCTGTTATTTCATACGGCGATTTCCTTTTTACTCTGGAACGAAACACAGCAAATAAGAACAAACCATCGAACGCTGGTGTTTCTGTTTGATTTCTCAAGTCATCCACACTTAACAGGTTCTTTGTTTGCCCGACCACTCCACCGGCTTTTATTAAACTGTGCTCGCTGCTCTTTGTGTAGTCTCGCTGACGGACAAACAAACGGCATTAATTAAAAGTGCTCTCTAGCTGAAGTTCTCCTTCAGCGCCTCCTCCCCTCGACTCGATCCTCCCCGCCGCTGCGGTGTAATAATATATTTGGCGTTACGGGACGTCCCCGTGAGGAATTCCTGGTGTTTGGTGAACCAGAGTCTCTCTGCAGTGTGATTTCAGACACAGCGGACAGCAGTCATTAATCACCGCACTGTACAGGAGTGTGCGTGGTGCGTTTGTGTGTGTTGAAGGTAGCTTTGTTTCCCTTTCAGTCATGCTCATCAGCAAACAAATCCTATCTGTTTTTGGGGAAGTGATGTTGGCTCTGCCAGCAGTGCACAGGGAATGCCTGTTGTGCTGTTCTTCCTCTCCCTGTTAGTTATTTCCGAATGCTGAGATATGACCTCTGGCGTGTCGCCTTCTCCGCGGGGCCTTGGCTGCATGTCGGCGATACGGAGGTCTAACGAGCGACGGGCTGTGTGGCCCTCGGGCTACACCGGCACTTTTTCTTTGCCAGACTTTTGCAGCAACATCCTGTTAAATTTCATTTTCGGGGCTGCAAAGATCTCCATGTGTTCGAGGTTTACTTCTCAACCTTCCCGGATCTGCAGTGCGATGCGTGAGTGAGGAGGTGTTTACAGTGAACCCTGCAGTCAGAATGTTGTCTGACATGTCCAGACAGCCGCAGATATGATGTAAAGCAAACTTTCAGGATGTGGATAAAAGCCAAATAAAAGAGAGAGAGCTGTTAAAAATCCCTTAGTTCTGTATGTTCTTGTTATCGAGAGGAAATGCTAAAACACGAATGTCATACAGTGAAATCTGGACGTATAATATCCTATAAGCTGCAGAGTTTCTGCTGTATTTTTCTACTTTATTCCTGCACAGGATTAAGATCACCTCTGACCTCCCTGTGGCGCACACACGGGAATACTATCCAATAGACGAGAAGCAATTAGTCACAGTGAGTGTGTATTGTAGGTTTTTTAATTCTTTTACTTTTCCACCTTATTCTTTTAGTAAAGAAAAACATTTACACCTCAAGTGAAATTTCTAAAGCACAAGCTTTACTAATTTTTATCTTTACAACCTTGTTTATATTTGACTTGGCCTCTTATCAGTTCAACATGTAACATCTCAACTCTGCTGATGAATGGCATGAGCCAGAAAACGCTAAAAGTCCTCCAAAGTTCACTCATATTTCCTCCCACGTTGCTTCAGCGTTTGGGTGAGAGGTTAAGAGCAGACTTGGGGTTAGGTTCCTCCAAAGGTAAAGGTGAAGAATTTTGAAGGGCTCTTCAGATAAAGCTCTGATATGAATGTAGTCCCTGAAAGTATTCACAGGTTTGAGTATGTGTGTGTTTGCTCAGAGCAAATCCCTGCTTATTCTGTGGAGCTCATTTCTCATCATGCTGAAGCCTCCTCAGTGGGAGATCAGAAGGCATAAGCACTTAATGACTGAAAGGGATGAGTCCGGCCTTAACATCCCCAACCGTATCTCTGCATGTCAGCGTATTCACCTCACCACCCCACGCCAGCACCCAAGGGCATCTCCCAGATCTCCTTCATGAGCATTCCCTGCATGTCCTACCTAAGACATGCGACTGGCGCCGATGGGACTTTCCCACCATGCTGAAAAGAACATTTGTTCCTGTTCAGGGGCGGATAAACACGTTGTTTGGACGCCTCTGCTGTTTGATATTTCAGTTTAGCGCAGTACGGAGGTGGCATCTGTGGGAAGGGATCATAGACTCAGACTTCGTTTCCTGAGCAATCTGCAAGTATCACCCAATGTAAACACTGCCGGCTACATTATCGGACACGTTCAACAATGCGAGTCAAATCGTTCCTGTGGCGAAGCCAGACAGAACGAGGTAGATGGAAGTGTAGTATATTTTGATGTGTAATATGGATATAATGTAGCCGGCTTGCAGACGTTCTCTGACTGGATCACAAACAGTAAAATCCTCTTTAAGTGTTTCTTTTTCTTCTGCATTTCACAGATTCCCTTTGTACCCCAGAGGAGAGCGGTTTCATTTTGAATATGGCGTCTACTTACTCAACAAGAACATCGCCCAGGTAATCCATTGCATGCACACGCGCTAAACATGTTTGACGACATTTTAGACTTGAAAACGTATTTAAAAATCATACTAATTTGTAACTGTAAGTTGTCCTGCAGTTTCTAAAAGTTGCTAGTACCGAGTGCAGCGTCTCGTCCATTAACCTCCTAAGACCCGAACTCTTCCACGGCAGCATTTTTAATTTCTCTTTGATATTTCGGCACATTGGGGCCCGATGAATGTAAAAACAAAGAATTACCAGATGTTATTTTTTTTTACCTTATTTTTGTTTTTAAGAAAAATAAGAGCCACATATGAGGATATTCGTTTAAAATGTTGATAGAACAGTAGCAGGATAATGTCCTCGTAAGTGGATATCAGGCCCTTGTAGAGCAAAATTGAGTATTTTGGTCTAAATAACCCAAAATGTGATGTCCACATATGTGGACGCAGGTCCTAGGAGGTTAAGTTTCACAATACGGCGTTCAGTGTGTCGAGACCTGCTGTTGACATACAGGTGTTAATACATTTATACTCTGCCATCACTATAAAGGATGATGATATTATATCGGTCTCATGTCGTCAAATTGTCTCATGAAAACAACAAAACCATTGTGTATTAATCCATTGCAACACCTGCAGACTTCCCCAGTCTGTGTGTTGCTCCAGGAACATCTGGTTGGTCATTAAAAAGCTTGATTGTTATTAATGGAGGTGTTAGTCATAAAGAAATTCCTGAAACAGCTGTAAAAGCCTTTTAGTCAGGCTTAATTTAAATATTAGTAAGTGCTGAATTATTGCAATCTATGTGGACTAATGTGGAATGAAGTTTTTACGCCCTTGATGTAAAAGTAATGAATGATGCTGTTAGTCAGTTGAAGAGACAGACATGCAAAGCTCACAACACTCATCGACTCATTAACACTTTTAAATTAGCGCCAATTTACAAGTGTTAATCTGTGATCGTTACCTCTGCCAAGGAAGTTATGTAATGGGTTCAGTTTGTGTTTGTTAGCAGGGTTACTCAAAGTTATGGATGATTTGCATGGAAATTTTACCAGATGTGCAATTTTGGAATCGAGCTGCGTGTAGATCCAGGAATAATTTATAATTCCAGGATAGGATGAAATTGGTTTTTGATGTCATATCTCACATGTCAAATTGGACGTTGTGTAAAAGTAAAAACAGAATGAGATGAGTTGCTAATCTCATAAACCCATATTTGATTACCAGTCGAACATGGAAAACATTTCAGATGTTTTTAACTATTAGCTCATTTTAAATTTAGTGGCAGCAGCAGTAGGGCTGCTCGATATAACCATATATATCGGATGACGATATAAAAACATGGTTTCATTTTACGCTGTCCTTTGTTTCGTGGTGTCCCAAAATAAACTGTTTACAGCAATATTTTTTCATTGTTTTGATGGTCGCTGTAGTGGGTATATTCATTTCTTAAAGTTCTCTATTTCTCTTATATTTAATATAACCTGTTTTTATGCGTTGTTGTTAGCAACAGCGACGGTAAAACCTTCGCGTGTCCGCTTGTTTATGTTCCACATAGACCTTTCACAATAAAGCTCAAGATCCTGTTGAGACTTTTCAAAATAAACTGAATCACGTGAAAGAGCAGATTATTGACGGATGAGAAGTGAAAAAGAGCCGCCAGGTGCTAAAAAATAAAGCTTAGACTCAAACGTTAGAACAGGCTTTTCCCCGCAGCACGCCGTGTAATAAATACTCACAAAGGAAACGGCGTCGTTACAACTTATGTCTAAAAACGTATCGTTTCATGCATCGGTTAAAACACTCGACTCCAGCTACACGACACGCAGCTGGAAACACTTCACACAAGTCGAGCTGCCCGAGATTCACAGAATTTACAGAAAATGTTACATTTCTGTGATTTATATCGTTATCAGACGATAGATGTTTTATATCGGGACATGAGATTTTGGTCGTATCGCACAGCCCTAGCAGCAGGTCTCAAATTTGGGATGGAAAATAAGAGCCACTGAAAACAAACAGCTGAAAGAACATTTTGCAACGAATTGGTTGAATTGGCAGCAGCTCAGTAACAAGATTTGCTTTAAAGAGCATCTTACAAGGCGTTTTTTCAATAATCAGAGGTTCATTATTTTGCAGTACAAAGTAATATTTTGAGGACTTTGAATATCATCATCTATTTTTGTTTGATGATCTGAAACATGCAAGTGTGGAAAAAACAGCTTAAATCTTTATATGTGACTGTATATACTTAATAGCAGGAACAATTTATTTTTGGATTTGGTCTTTTCATGTGATCTGTTGAACTCTTGACCCGTCTCGGTTTATTGAAGTACGTATAATGTGTTGACCTTAGTTACGCCCTCCAGTTATCCTCGAGTCATTTGGCACCGACTTTTAACAGTTTGCGTTCCACTTCCTTTTTTTCTCCTCGTTCGGCCGAGGATGACGGAGCTCTCCACCTCTTAACTGGGCCACTCGCTCTAACAGGTGGCTCACTTCAGAACGCGGCGCACTGGGAGGTTTCAGTGTTAATGCTACACCACGAGCTTCTAGCCAGCAATAAAATCTGCCATCTTTCCAACAGCATCCAAGAATAAGAAAATAAGTGAGATAAGAAAACATTTTAGACGGCAAAAGAAAATAAGTGCTGTCTAAAACCACTAAATGGAATTCACTGGTATTACCGTGTCATGTAGCTAAATGATGATTTGTGTCTCATGATTTCAGAAGGGAAGCTATTATTCACGTTAATAGCAGAATGCACGTTGTTAGGTCAGTGTTCTTTGTTGATTAATGCCAAACTAATCCAGCACTCATTCCATCACTGCTTGTCAGTCTAAGCGATCTCTTGTCAAAGGTGAAATATTTGCTGGGCTGAGGTTTGTATTTTTCTCTGGATTTTACTGTTTTGTAATAACTGTCAGGGCTAAACACACATGCACATGTTCGAGCACTCACATATGTGCACAGTCATGCATTCACACTCGCAAAGCCTTGGAAAAGTTTGCAGTAAAGCTCAGATGAACATATGCAAGTTATGTTCTGGTGTTGTATCGTAGGTGGATTTTAAAGGAAGATCATTTGGTGTGCAATCATCTCAGTTTAGTTTTTTTATCAGAGCCACACATCAGCTTTGTTTCACCAGGCTCAACCACATAGTGACATCAGATGCAGCACAGCATGCTCTCTCCTGCTGAAAGTTTAATTTGCCCACTGATTGAAGGCACATGCAAGGATGGCTTGGCTGCAGGAGAAATATTCCTAATCGAAATCAGCTTATCCGTAATGCAGATATTGTCAAGTAATATTGTTGAATTTGTCAGTTCAAAATGTGGCAGTGATTCATAGAGAGGTCTTTTTGGGATTTCAAGAGTAAAGCGTATTCTTTAGACACATTCCTTTTGTAATGATGAAACTGGCCTTATATATGGTGCTTCAAAGGAATCTGTTCCACTGCAGAGGAACAATGAGTTCCAGACAGCTGGACGTCCTCACCAGTGTCCATGAAACCAATGCAGAAAGATTGAAATTAAAGGTTTGAATCCAGATGGAAGCCTTCAGCTACAGCACAGGTGGGTACATGTGCAGAGTGCACGATAACTTTGTAAAAAGAATCTGTGGAATGATGAATTAATAAAAAGGCGGCACGCCTGCTATTTGCCGATATGCAATGCTGGCAAAGCCTCATCTGTGCAGTAACAGAATTCGCTACACAATAAGTGTAAGCCTTGCATGTAGATTCCCAAGTTCTCTTTGCTGCTGTGGCCTCTTGTTTAGGAGAGATCCAAACACTTTGTCTTTGCTTTGTTGACCTTCAGAAATGTGCCTCTAGCAGCTCAGAGGAGCGTTACTATTTTTACAGGATAAAATTTCAGCTTTCCTTCAAAGCACTTTATTATACATTCCATGTGTGCGTCTCCACATTATGGATGAGTTATCAGCTTGACTCCAGAGCAGTATGGTTGTGCCACATGAGTAGTCCAGCTCGATGCTGCGATTGTTTAAAACCTGAAAAAACTGAAGAAGTGGTAAACATGTCACAGTCAATAAAATGCAACGCTCCACAAACGGAGCTTCTTCCTCCCAGTTTGGCTGATTTCTGAACTCCACATTAAGCTGTTCACTTCTCTGAATGTAAGCTATCAGTTTTGTGGTCTCGCATCACAAAATTTCAGGGTTTAGGACTTAATCCCGGGAAATGCAGGCTTAACTCGTATGTAATGTCTCCTTTAAATCTAATTAGAAGTTGTGATTGTCAAGCACTTTATCAGCTGGCTGACTTTGACTTTTTACTTTTACTGCTCTGTTTCCTGTCGAGGTTCTTATTGGGGCTTTTACTGGGAAATGGCTCATTTATTGACCCTACATATTAAGCTGTGGTTTTCTCTGGCTAATATTATTTTCAAACAGACTGCTTTTCTAGTTGCAGCAGAGTCATTATTGAGATTGCGGTTTTTAAATTTTTCTTTGTGTCTTTGGAGGCCTCCTTGTTTTGAATCAGCCACGTTAAGCAGTCATGCACAGCTTGTCCAAAGTCTGGCTTTGCAGACAAGCAGAGGTCTGGTTTCACAGCAGGCCCGACTGAAGGTCTGATTGGCTGCTTTGGTGGTGACTGGACGCTGGGTGGGATACATTAGCTGTCCGTCTACTATTAAATTGCCTTGTGCGGCCGTGTTTGAAAGTGATACCGTCGAAGCTGGCCAAGGATCTGTGCTGTAGCGGGGCGACCCTTCTTTGATGTGGCAGAGGGGAACGTTTGCTCCTATTGGGATGGAGAAGATGCACTGAGCATCCTGGACGTCAGCTGATAACAGGCTCCTGTGCTCCTCGTTCAGCTTAATTTGTTTGAGGATAAGAAGTTTAAAAACAAAAGGCTTTGAGGAATGTTCGGGCTAAAGTCCAGCTATTCTCCCCAATTCCCTCTTTTATTTCTTGTGTAATCAGAAAATATTGCAAAATTTGCAACGCTTGAGTGAGTCACAAATGTTTGTTTGGAAACTTTGCCTT